GGATCCTTTGTTTTCATCTTGATCTTGTGTTGTCTGGGGTCTGTATTTCTTAATCTATCTGTATACTGACTAAGTAGATTATGTTCATCTTTCTTCTCCTTATCAGTCAGTTCTTCCCTTATGGTCTAGTAAGTCTTTATCTTCTGTATCAAAGTCATTGTCTTCAGATTCTGCTTCTATGACAGCCACACCTGCCATGTCCATCTGTACGTCAATAACTGCACCTCTAAAGTCTTCTTTCTTCTTGATTTATCTCTTCAACAGATTGGCATAGTAAACCATGGTTGTTCCATGTACATTCTGTGGACCATTTCCTGTACTGTGAAAGGTCTTTTCCACAGCCAGGTTAGTTTGTTGTTGGCTGTGGGTAGCAGAACTATAATCTTTTGTCCGACTTTAAAACATCGACCATTGGTTTTCTTGTTGTAGAAGTGGTTCTGACTGTCTTTGGGTTTCGCTTCCCCAGTCAAACTGTTTGATAGGTCCTGTTCAATACACCTTTCTTGTCCTCTGTTTTGTCTCTTTCCTCTGTGTCTTGTTCTTGACTTCCTCTCAGGCACTGTCTTGAAGTTTCTGTGGTGATGTGTCTCTTCTGCACATCCTTCAAATTTTTACTATGTGGTATGTTTCTTATCACCATTCATATGTTGGTTCCTTGATACACATGGCCTCAAGGTCTCCTACATAATATGGTGTATCCACATTTATTTTTCCTATCGGAAAATTTTTCACTGTCCCATCAATCAGTACACACAGGTGTACTTTGCCTGTCATCTAATCATCAGATATTAGACTGCACCCAGTATCTTGCAGAACCTTCACTTTCTTGTCCCCAACACAGCTTTTACATATTGACATATTATGATTTGTTAGCACCTCTCAATATTTGTAACATGCTCCAATCATTACTGGCACTGCTGATCCATTTGCTAACTTGAGCTGACCATTAGTCATGCATCGATCTTGTGGTAAATCTGTCTTGATTCTGTTTCTTCTGGTAGCAGCATCCATGTTGACAGTCACTCTTTTCTTTTTTCTTACCAGCACTATCTTTGTAAATAGCTCCAGCTACTTTATGTTAAGATTTCTGCTGTTGCTTACTAGTAAGACTTGCACTCTTTTGCAATGTGTCCCATTTTATAACAAATATAGCATCTCTTCTCCTTTCTATCTGTTATCCTCCTGTCACCTTTGGTAGACTCCTGCTTCTGGTCCGCCATCACTGGATTTGAATTTAACTGGATGTTCTTGGACTTGCCAATTATACTCTCTCCACAGGCTTCCATATACTGTTCTGCCATCTTGATAATTTCATCTACGTTTTTTGGTACTCTCTCCTTTAGGAATAGTGACATGTCAGTTGAACACATGATCATGAACTGTTCTCGTATTATTAGATCTGCCAGTCCCTCAAAACTATTTTCACACTTGGCCATGTCAGTCCATCTGTTGAAGTATCTCCATAAACATGCCACTAACTGAAATACAGTTTCAGGTTTGACTTCTCTGAACTTCCAGTGAAAACCTTCTTCAGTAAGTTTATACCGTTTCAGTAAGGCCACTTTTAATTTGTCATAGCCCATGGCATCTTCTGACATCATGCCTGCATATACTTGTAGGCCTTTTCGTGTGAGAAATTGGCTGAAATAGACTACCCAGTCTCCTTTGTCCCAGTTCTGACTTTAGGCAAATCTTTCATATCTCTCCAAGAAACCATCTATGTCATCTTTGTGTTCATCAGATTTGGACATCTGGGTCAGCTGGCCCTGGCTCCATTGTCATTCTTCTTTCTGTTTGGTGAGCTTGGCGATTTCAATTTGTGCTCTTATTCTCTCTATTTCTAGTCTCTCCTCTCTCTCTTTTCTTCTTTCTCAAATTGTGCTCTTATTCTCTATCTCTCTCTTTCTATTTCCAGTTTCTCTTTTATCTCATTTTATTTTCTCTCCTTTTTTTCTTTCAGTCTTTCCCTTTCTTCTTTTGGTGTTTCTTCCTCTCTTCTCTGCCTACACTCTTCTCTCCCTTGTTCTTGCTTCCAGATCATGAAGGACCTCCTCAAACCCTTGTTTCCTTAAGGCAGTCTTCTTTCTTCAGTTTCAGCACATAATTTTATCTCTGCTTGCAGTTGTTCTTTCAACATATTCTTCTCATCCTCAAGCTGCTTCAAAATGATGCATATCTACATCACAACCTTTCTCTGCAGTGTCAACCATACGTGTTGTTAATACGCTGGTTTTGGGATTGTAATGTTCAGTCCTCATCATTCAAAAAAGTAATCATATGGGAAAGCAAGACATCATTGGCTTTATGTTGCCTAAAGAAGACACACAGCTGAGTAATTCCTTTCTCCAATAAAATTTGTTTCCCAGCATTTTCTGGATCACTCAGTAGGGTGGACACACTTTGCTGCACAATTTCATGCAATGCTTACAGCTCAGTGTCATAAGAAGCCTGGTTGTGATGACTCTGAATGGTAGGTGTCTCTGATGAACAATTTAGTGTCTCCTCATCTAATTGGACTTTTTCCAAAAAGCTGTTGCTCTTTCCAGTCTTTCCTCTAAGTCTGCAATGGTAGTTTCATACTTGGGTTTGAGTTTACTCAAGTGCCTAGATATATCTTTTTCTTCAGCAAGGATCTGGGAAAATTCAGATTGTCAATCTTCAGAAGCTGTTTTTCTTTAGACAGCTTCTGGTTCGTGTCGTCCATCAAAGCCAAGTCCTCCTCCAGCATTTTTGACTTAGAATCCTGGCTCATGTTCCCTAACTGAGGTTTCTGGCTAGATGCCTCTTATTCCTCTAACTGTTCCTCTAGATCTTAAATTATCAGTTGAAATTTCTTCTTTTCAGCAGTGAAGATTATACAGTGGTAAATGGCGATATAAAAATATGTAAATAACAATGGAAATAAGTAGCCCTATATATATGCATAACGGTAGTGGTAGCAAAAATAGTGTAGAGATTACAATTATGCTATATAACCATGTCAGGTGATTTTGATAAATGGGTAGAAAGAGGAGAGTGTCTTGGGTTAAAAGACAGTGAACTATGAGAGTTTGTTAAACAATAACAAGTCACAGACACCTACTATAGAAAAATCCATAACACCGACACAGATAAATATAATTAAAGTTCTGACAGTATGGCTTGACTTATTACCCTAGGCACACTACACATTCATAGTCTGCTGACCCTCTGAAACATATAAGATGGTTGAGCAGCCTTTACGTTTCACTAAACTTTCCAACACTAGTACTACACAGGAAGTTCTTTTGACTACCTGTCTGCACTACAACCTATATTGAGTAAAGATCTAGTCTTCTACCAAATATTGCTCCTACTAGGTACCCCTCACCCCAGTTGGTAACACTTTCCATGAGTTTTCCTTTTCTGTCATTATAATCTAGAAAGAAGTTCATCATTTAAGTTTCTTTATTTACACTGTTCCTTCCACCATCTTCTCAGTGTGGGGTTCTATTTATATGTTATGTGGAGAGATGAGTTGTGTTTCTAAAGGTAACATTTTCCTTACCTGAAAATGTATTTTAGATAGTACACACACACACCTTTCCTCCTCACTTCCAGTTTATATCTTTTGTCTTATCAAAAGTGGTATACACAAAGTGCTCAAAAGGAGTACTGAGCATGGTAGAAGGATATAGTATAATGTTGATTGTATCACAAACTAGCACATTACACATTATTACTTGTAGGGGTGGGAATTTTGTTCATAGGCTTCACAGTAGCAAGAGGTATTAACTATATGTTCTCTGTGTAAGTAAATATCTACCTGAAATGCAGATGAGGAAAATATAAGCTTTGCTTACCATAGCTGGGATACAACTTGTTGCAGGTTTCATTTTGTTGGTATTGGTTCTTCAACTGGAAAAGTGGCACAAGAGTCTTCCATGACATATCTAAAAAAAAAGTCCAATTGTAGAAAACTGTATGAATGGTATCTAGCTAAGAGCCAGGGGAACATTCCAAGTAGTGTATGTTTACCTTGATAATAGTAACCTGTGCCATTTTCTACCAGTCAGTATAGATGAGAAAATATTTCCAGAAGTGGTATCAATACGTCAAGAAACTTTTCTAAAGGGATTTATGATCATTACTGGCTACTTCTCCAGATACAAGTTAAGGGATGAGGATAGCAGATACAACTAAAGGTTAAAGTCAGTGAACTTTACATCCTATGAGATCAATGTTCTGGAACCTTTGTGCTGCAGAGAAATAATGGCTTTGTATGAAAATGAGGTTAACAGGATATTATTTCAGCAAGATAAGGCTTTCAATCATACCTACAGTTCAACCTCTGCATAACTTAAGCAGCTGGGGGATGAAAAGGGTGTTCATGGTATTCCTCATGAATACATGACATACTCTTGAAACTGGCACTGGAAACCATCATCCTTGTACACTAGATGGATTTTTTAAAGTAGGTATATAGTGGTATTGGAAGAGAAAAGTGTATCAAAGTTTAAATTGTAAGTTTCAGGAGTGCATGAAACTTTGAAGAATAAATAATAATGTTTTTCTAGTACTTACACCTATTAGAAATGTACTTCTCCAACTTTAATATGGAAAAATAATTAATTAGGTACTTAATGTTTCATATGCGGAAACAATTATTTACATATGGAAATATCTTTCAAAAATGTGTTGTGTTAAAAATGGCTGTCACTTTTGGTATTTAATGCTAGTAAATATTTGTACCATTTGTCAACCACCATAATATATATATATATATATATATAATCTTTTTATTCATAAGTTACTTTCTTTCATATTTACATATATCTTCCAAATACCCATTTCATTACCAATGATTTTGTCTTTAGAACTCATTGTTTCAGAAAAATATGTACCAATGCTTCATCTCCACAATGTATGTTACATTTAGTTTTATATTTGAAAATAATGGTTATTTGCAAGTGAAAAATGTTTTAGATATCTGTTACATTAGAAATTATGATTTGTTTTTGTTTGTTGTTTTTTTACATTAGCATTTAACAACAGAGGCAGACCCTGAGTTACACAGCATTTGTGATGCAACAAGCTTATCAACTGCTGCATGCTCTTCAAGTATTTCACATAAGGTAATACTTTAGTGTAGGGTCATTTTATATTTGTATGTTGTATGGAACGTTTAAAGCTCATTATTTCATACATTTGCCACAAACTGTAGAAATATTTAGAAAGTGAACTGTGTTTATTGTTAAGTATAATATAATGTTTATGAATGTTGAAATACACAAAGCTTCACAAATATTGCTATGTTTTTTAAAGCATAAATTACTAGTATTAAGACTATTCACTTAGAAATTTCTTTTTAGATCTATAACTTGTTTCAATGTTTAAACCTTAAATCCATTTAACAAAATATATTCTTCAAAATTGTTTTGACATCACAATTTCACTTGTGTAATTTCTTATTTTGGCTTAAAGTTTTCAGTTAAGTTACATAGTGGCTTTTACTGAGTTTCCCCTGACAAAATTCTAATATAAGCTGTATGTTCACTTTTTTTTTTCATTAAATTTTGTGTGTCCTTTTGCTATGTATATAGTTAATGAGTTTTCACATATTTTTATATCACCTGGAACATGAAACTAAACATTTACAAGACAATACCTCATCTCTTCACACGTAGAATAGCTTCATTTCTCATGTATCTGCCTATGAGATTTCCATACCTCTAGCCTTGAGCTAACCTCCACCTAAAAATCACTTGTTTAACATGTACTGCTTTAGTGATGACATCATCATGCAACAAAAGCAAGGTGACAGAACCTCCTTGTGCAGTAGCTGCTCGTAAGTACTTTTGCTCGAAATAGCTTCATTATTTTCTTTGCCATTGTCCAAAACACACATTTTTAAACATATTACTTAATTACATGAGATTTGAGATAGTTTACAAAACTTAAAATTTATTCTAATTTAACTGTTTTCTTTTATTACTACAAAAATATATATAAAGAGAAAAACATTTTTTTTTTCCTGCTTACCCATTATGAATTCTCCAGTGACAGTAATTTCCTCTTCATCCTATGCTAGCATTGTTGTTCCTAGCATGGGTCCTGTCTCATTAATGGTTACTGGGAGCTTATTTTCTGTGGTGGATGTGTCAGCCATTGTTTCATGTGTTGTGGGTTCCTTTATGCACACTGGGCCTTGTCCTACTAATCTTCCAAGATTGAACACAATCAAGATGATGATGATTGTCTGTTTTCCTCACCAGGGTTTGCTCTAGGCATAGCTGTTTCTGTGATGGAGAATCCTTACTCTTCAAGTCTGATTCTTGACATGATTTTGTAGGTATGTTCTTTTCTTTCTCTTTTCTCTTTGTTTTCTGCTTCTTCCTGTATTTTCCTGTGTGAAATCCATACTCCAGACTACTTTGTTTTTCTTCTTCACCTGACATTAGTGTTCATGCAGGCTCTTTTCTCATTCAACTGGACACCTTTATTAACTTGCCTTGTTTTGCTAATCTATTGACTACTTTTCCCTGTTTACATCTGTTCTTCATTTCCATTCTTCAATTCTCAGTCTTTTAAATCTCTTTCACCTGCTTGGAGGGACCCCTTAACTTTTATTTTCCTTTCTCATAACCCATTTCATGCTTTCATCTCTTCTTTTTTTTATTATCATCTTCCTACGTTGGCCCTCACCACTTCCCCTTATGTCTGAAGCACTGCATGGTGCTTCAGGGGAGGATTTTCTTGAGAGGCTTGATTCTTCTTTTTACTACATTGACTGCTACTTCTGCTTTAGCCCTTCTTACTAAGTTCCTCTGCTGTTGGGATGGGATGCTCTCCTAGCTAGTGTATGTCTCCCTCACACACATATGTCTGTGATCTTCATTGGGCTCTGTTTCTTTGTCCAGAGGTTTGCTCTGGTATTCCTGTTTCACTGAGGACCCAAACTGTTGCAGCCCGGCATCAGTCCTCATTGCCTACTATGGTATTTTGTCTCTCTTTACCTTGACATTCTGTTCCTATTCCCAGGATTTTCAAATCCATGTCTCACCTTCCTCTTCAAATTTCCTGTCCTTCTACTACTTCCTGTTCTCCCACTAATCATTGTCAGGGTTGTCAATCTCTTTGTTAGTGACCATTCTATCAGATCTAACCCTGTAGGAGGCTCATCTGGCTTTTTTTGCTGGCCTTTGGTCTTCATTTTTGTCCAACAGATGGTTATTCAGGTTTTCACCTGCAGCCCATCTCTCCTCTTCTCCTTCCCTTTTGTCCTTTTTGTTTCCATTTCTTCTTCCTCTGTTACCCTCGTTTTCAATGTCTCAAGGATGTGGTTTCTTATATCTTGCTCTAGAATGCTATTGTGAGGGTATTTACCCCTACACATGGTTAATGCTCTCATCTTCCAATTCTGGGTTCTTCCTTTTAGCTTTGGCTGCTCATTCTATTTTACTGGAGTCATGGGGTCTTTTGCTTGCCTTGTATTTGGATTTGGGCTGAGGTTTCATTTTACATGGTACATTGGCTTCTCTTTGCCTCTTCTTGAGAGAATTTGTCTCATATCTACATTCTTCTACAGGAGGCTGCTTGGTTAAGCTGGTTTATGAAGCCTTCCAAGTCTTTTCTCGCACTTGCCCTACCCTACACTTAGTACTTCAGTCATCTCGGTCAGGATCAACCTTCACCACTTCTAATGGCTGGAGACGGCTTGAATGGGTAATGAAGAATAACTTTAATATAAGTTTAACATA